TTTCCACAGAGCACCAGAACTAGAACCAGAAGGGGACATAACATCTGTACAAATAACTGGCTTTTGCCTTCAGAAGATGGAAGAGGCTGAGGATGCATTCTTGTTAAGCGATGGCCTTACAGATGAGATCCTCTTCTGAAAGTGGCTCCCAGGAAGGCACAGGGGTTTACCAAGTGTCGCAACCCCTGGATGAACTTTTTGATTGCAAGCAAAGAGAAGCACATTGCCAAAAACTTCTGACTCTCACCCTTTGAGAAGATACACTGCAGAAAAACCCTCCATGGGAAGAAGAAAGCTAGGCAGGAAGGCAGAAACAACATTTGCAGGCTTAAGAACATGCTTTCTGTTCACCTGCAAGTGAGAATAGCCACACTGCCAACTTCCAGTCATTGCTACTGCATTTTACTTAATGGCAGTTACTTAACAGTATTGCACTTACCAATCTGTAACCATAAAAAGAACACAAAGCCACATACAAAAGCCCATTACAGAATCAATCATAGAATCATAGGACTGGAAGGTACCTTGAGAGGTCATCTCGTCCAGTCCCCTGCACTCATGGCAGGACTAAGTATTATCTAGACAATCCTTGACAAGTGTTTGTCTAACCTGCTCTTAAAAATCTCCAAGAATGGAGATTCCACAACCTCCCTAGGCAATTTATTTCAGTGCTTAATCACTCTGACAGTTAGGAAGTTTTTCCTAATGTTCAACCTAAACCCCCGCCCCCTGCAATTTAAACCCATTGCTTCTTGTCCTATCCTCAGAGGTTAAGAAGAATAATTTTTCCTCCCTCCTCCTTGTGACAACCTTTTATGTACTTGAAAACTGTTATGTCCCCTCTCAGTCTTCTCTAGACTAAACAAACCCAATTTTTTCAGTCTTCCCTCATAGGTCATGTTTTCTAGACCTTTAATCATTTTTGTTGCTCTTCTCTGGACTTTCTCCAATTTGTCCACATCTTTTTTTAAATGTGGCGTCCAGAACTGGACACAATACCCCAGTTGAGGCCTACTAAGTGCAGAGTAGAGCGGAAGAATTACTTCTCTTGTCTACAACACTCCTGCTAATACATCCCAGAATGATGTTCATTTTTTTGCAACAACATTACATTGTTGACTCATTTTGCTCGTGCTCCACTATGACCCCCAGATCCCTTTCCACAGTACTCCCTCCTAGGCAGTCATTTCCCATTTTGTATGTGTGCAGCTGATTGTTCCTTTCTAAGTGGAGTACTTTGCATTTGTCCTTATTGAATTTCGTCCTATTTACTTCAGACCATTTCTCCAGTTTGTCCAGATCATTTTGAATTATAATCCTATCTCTAAAGCACTTGCAACACCTCCCAGCTTGGTAGCGTCCACAAACTTTATAAGTGTACTCTCTATGCCATTATCTAAACCATTGATGAAGATAGTGAACAGAACTGGACCCAGAACTGACCCCTGCGGGACCCCACTCTCGCCCTTCCAGCCTGACTGTGAACCACTGATAACTACTCTCTGAGAATGGTTTTCCAATCAGTTATGCGCCCACCTTATAATAGCTCCATCTAGGTTGCATTTCCCTAGTTAGTTTATGAGAAGGTCATGCGAGACAGTATCAAAAACTTTACTAAAGACAAGATATACCACATCTACCGCTTCCCCCTATCCACGAGGCTTGTTACCTTGTCAAAGAAAACTATCAGGTTGGTTTGACAAGATTTGTTCTTGACAAATCCATGCTGACTGTTACTTATCACCTTCTTATGTTCTAGATGTTTTATTCCTTAGATATTTTTAAGGTCAGGCTTGACAAAGCCCTGGCTGGGATGATTTAGTTGGGGACTGGTCCTGCTTTGAGCAGGGGGTTGGACTAGATGATCTCCTGAGGTCCCTTCCAACCCTGATATTCTATGATTCTATGTTTGCAGATTGATTGCTTAATTATTTGCTCCATTATCTTTCCGGGTATATTCCGCTTATAGAGCAATAGGAGCTCACTGGGAAGTTCACACTGGCAGGATCTGGGGAGTTTCCCATTACCCTCCAATGAGTGATTTGCAAGTTCCTGTAAAACTGCAGAAGCTGGAGATCGCTTTGCACATAATGCCAAAGATCAGCCATAATGCACTTCAACAATACTAACCATCTCACAGAACGCTGCTTCCCACAGAGCTACACAAGCAGCACAAAAGGAACTACACAAAACACCACCCCTTCGCTTCCTTTTTATCTTGTATACTTTGAGAGGCAGTGTAGTCTGGTATTCAGAACAGGGGACTGGGAAACAGGATTTCTGGATTCTATTTCCAGCTCTGCCAGTGACACTGTCTCCCTGGATAGGTCACTTCAGCTTTCTGTGCCTCGGTCCAGGTCTCTGAAATGAAGAAAGAACAGACCTACCATATGCAGGCTTGGGAAGCCCTTTGAAACACTCAGTTGAGGGGAGCTACAGAAGTAATATCTGCCTCACAGGGAAGAGGTTTTTAATTTAGAGATTGTTAAAGTAAGGCTTGGAAGTAAGGTTCTGCTTATCTTTCATCTTGTCTGTACAGTTCTATGTATTTCTGAAGTATTCTTTCTGGGGGGTCCTGCAAGAAAAAAAAGATCAGCTGCTACCACTTTTTGTTCTTGACAGAACAGAATCACCAGTGTCAAATTATAATTGATGGGGTCTAGGGACAAAACTAACTACTTGGAAAATCCTGTACTGTAAATCAGCTTTTCCAGGCTGTTCTTCAAATCACTACCAAGTCTCCCTGCCAAGTAAAACAACACTACCACATGGGTGGGAACTATCTTCTAGACCATTCTGGGAGCAGAGATTGGGAAGGAGAATAGTTTCCAGCTTCCTTAGGTTTAAATAAAAAAAAAAGTTTCCACAATTTTCAAACATTCACATAACTTGTCAGCATGTTCATATGGACATTTCTTCAGGGAATCCAGCCGCATTTCAGATTCTGCCAAAGTTACTTCTGAAGAGCTTTTTAAAAAGAATTGTACATGCAGGAATTTTTCCCACTCATCATAAAAGAGGAGGCCTAAAATCATTTGTAAGTGTATTTGCACACGGCAGACATAAGAATATACATCAATCATAAATAAGGCTATGATTTTGTCACGCATTTTTAGTTAATTTCGTGGTAGAGGTGCGGGGGAGGGGGGAGAAGGGGATACCCTCTAGTCATGGAAAGTCCACCCCCAGAGGGGTGTTGGAACATGAGCCCAGCCCTGTAGCAACACCTCTGGCTCCCTGCTCCAAGCATTGTGATGTATGCAGGTTTGGGCTGTTCACCTTTCCGTCTCCATCAGCCTGCCACTCACATGCCACTGTCTGCTCTAAGAATAATTTTAATTCTAAATAGCGATAAGCAAAAAGACTAGGAACAACATATTTGTAAAGAAAGTTAAATTCCTCTACCACACTTGTGACCAAAATACTGCGATTTAAACCTAGAAAATGTACATCTTGAGATGCTGGTTCAATAAAAAGAAGTTACTAAACTTGGTAAATCAGGTCAGTATTAAAATTGCTCCAGACTGACTAGTTCCATGCCAAGTCACAGCCTGAAGCAAGTTTCAGTCAAGTTATAAATCCTTCTAAAATGGGTTCTATAATTAAAATGCTGACAAACCTTTCACTATTTCAGCTCTGCCAGGTACTACAATACGGATATTCACCTAGCCACTGAAAAGGAAAATACACACACACACGCGCACACTATAGAGGGGAAAAATAAATACACAGGGAAGAAGAGAAAGGAATCATTCACATCGGACAGCAATCATATGTGCCACCACCAGAGCAGCTGTTAGCATTACACTCCGGCCACTGGGCTAGGAGAGAAAGATGAAACTGAGGCGCTCTCCATGGATGCCTATTTATCAGGACAGCATGGAGCTCTTTCCACAACTTTGGCATTTGCTGGGATCCATGCATCAATGGAACTAAATGGATCGCTATTAGCCGTCCCAAAGGGAAAGCCTATATGGCGAGGTGGCCAAATGGATACAAGACCTGCTTTTGTTTTGAGCAGACATTCACCATTCACATGTATCTATGTGACATTAAGGACTAGTTGGTGTATCCTGATCTAAGCCCAGAGACTTTAGGCCGTAGACTGAGCTCAGCCTCTCTGGCAGCAAATCTGTGGAGCTGGACAGAGCAGACATTTTCATACGGGGAAGCAATACAGACGTGAAGGTCTGCGCTGAAACAGTTTAGAGAGTGCCTGAAACACGGGCTTTACTGGCAGCCAAGCTAGCTGCAAAATATTCACCCATTCTACCAGGACTTATTGATGCATGCCAGAACAATAGAGGCACCTATCATTGTGCAACGAGCCCGTTGCTGGAAACGTGTACGTGGCCTTATTGGATCGTCTTCAGCTTTCCGCTCCGTTCTTGATATACTGCTAAGCGAGACACTACTGGGGTGATTTTCTCTCCTCCACACAAATAGAAAGGAATTGATCAAAATCTCTTTACTTTCTCTTACCTCTCTACCCCTAAACTTTGTCATCTTTATTTTTCCACACTCCCTGCCTCTCACTCACCTTGCCTCACTTCAGAGAAACCCTAAACTGACAACAGGACCCAGCCTCGAGGTCAGCCTCTAGTTGTGTCTCGCCCATTGGAAAGGGGATTGGAACACCATAGCTTTTGTAACACCAGGCCTGCCTGCAGAGTAAAAGCCCAGTCTTTACCAGCATGAAGCGGGATATAAATCAACATTCTATAATTTATCAGAGTAGCCGCCATGTTAGTCTGCATCCATAAAAACAATGAGGAGTCCAATGGCATCTTAAAGACTAACAGGTAATCTGCTAGTCTTTAAGGTGCCACCGGCCTCCTCATTACTCTATCATTTGCTGGCTTTGAGCCGAGCAGAAATCTTAAGTTTCCTTTAACTGAACTGTGCTTCCTTCTTTCTGACTAGCATAAACAGCAAGTGCCTCCGTTTAACAACTTCTAACAGCGGTTGCCTTCCTCCCCCTCCGCTAGCCCCCAGCTCACCTGCTATTTTGATGTTTAGGTTAGCGTCCAGCAGCAGATTCTCTGCCTTCAAGTCTCTGTGAACGATGTTACAACAGTGACAAAAGTGGACAGCAGCTACAATCTGCTTGAACTTTCTCCGGGCTTCTTTCTCAGCCATCCGTCCATGGGCTACCAGGTGATCTGTAGGGGACCAGAAAAGAAAAAATGGTTATGGGCTCAGGAAAGACAGGCAGGAAATGGGCATCTGGTGTACAGCTAACAAGAGACGTAGAGGAAGAAAAATAAAACGAGCAGTATTTCACCGTGACATCATCTCCCTCCATTAAGTAGTAAAAGCTTCAGTCTAATTAATGCTTATGTTACTGGAGAGTGCTAAAACTCACTCCGAGGATAGAAGAGCATTTTTCAGCTACAAGGGGCAAGTTTTCATGGGACAGATGATACTCAGAACTAAAGACTAACTCCTGCACTTACACACACATCAGAGGAGGAAAGGAAGAAACCACCCAGCAAGGGGTTGGGCCTAGTCCGGGGTTCTCCTGACTCAACGGGTGCAAGATTGGGAGTTGTGTTAGGGCTAATAAATGGTGTCATTACTCATGCTGTCTGCAAGGCAAGAGAAGTGTCAGAAGACTGGAGATTGGTCTGCATTTAGATAACTACACTCAGCTGTACAAGTAAAGATACATTTTGGAAGTATTAAACCTCCTGTACAAGGCTCAATCCAATCTCTATTAGAGACCAAGATACCATTTAACGTGTGTGTGGGGTAGACTGGCAGACATTTCCCTACAGAACCATTTGGTGCTGGCCAGCATCAGAAACAGGATCCTAAACTGCATGGACCTTAGGAATTGCCAGACTAGATCAGATCCATTTTCTTACAATATAAAGGTTCATATTTTATCAACAGGATTCTAGTGACTAAACCCTACAACACAGAGGAAGAATAGGAATACAACTCCCTAATGTATGCCCAGATGTATTTCAGGAAGTGTTGCAAAAATGAAGTGAGGGACATTTTAAAATGTGTATCCAGGAATTTGCCACCCTGTACTTTAAATGCTTGCTCAAATGTCTAGGTGTTTGCTGTTTTAATAAGTGACATTCATGTTTTTTATATATCTGCACAAGTGTCATGGAGTAAGACTTTCTGCATATCTAATTCATTACTGCAAAAGTCAGGTAAATACTGCTCCTGGAGAAAGTCTGAGTACTTAGACATTTTGTTGGAATATTACCTTAATTTGTTTTAAAAAATAATTTCATTTCAATGTAACATCTGCTGAAGCCGGCCTTGTTGTTGAAAACGTCCTGTCCAAGTACTGACCCAACTGGACCCTACTTTGCTGATAAGATCAGAATGGGAAGCGGCATAACTGCAAGCTAAATCAGTACACTTTACATTTAAATACCTTTACAAGGCCAGAGCTTTAAAAAGACAGGATTTATCCCAAGAGCAATTGTGTCAAACTACTTGGTTCTCAGTTTTGGAGAGAGAATTTCAACTGGCAGAAATACAAACCCAAATCCACAGGCCTAGCCAAGTACTCTGACGCTTCTCTACAAGCGTGCACATGGGCAGGAAAGGTGGACAATGAGATGGAGAAAGCAGCTAGATTATTGTAGGTAATTGAGTCTGTCAAGGGCAAGTATCTCTCAAGAACCTAAGAGAGATTTCCCTGAGGCTGCGCCAAGCAAAGCAGTATTCAAAATCTACCTCTTCTATTTTATTACAGCAGCAGTTCTCAGTCTGTGACCCATGGATCATTCAGTGTCCACAGAGCACCTGGGGACAGTCTGAACACCTGGCAGGTTATACTATGCTGGCTCCACCTCCTTGCTTCTATCTTCTACTACAGGCATTCCATGCTCATCTAGGTAATTGAGGAGACAGAGAGGAAACAAGAGCCAGAGCCTCCATCAGAAGCATTAGAAATAAGGAAGCAGTTTCCTAATATTCCTTTGCTCTGTGAGGAATGGCCCTAGGTGTTGCATGATTTGCAAATGGGGTAGGAGGAGTTTCCCACAAGGGGACCACGCTATGAAAAAGCATGAGGAATCCTGGTTTAAGGCACACTAACCAAATATCCCAATATTTACAAGTTGTCATGTTTCCCTTACAAATGGGAAGAGCAACTCCACACACAACCCTATACCATTATCCTAACTTGGGCCCATTCTCTATCTACAATAGCATGCATTAGGAACAACTACACAATAATGCATCTATTTCATGTGTTTCAGATTTAAAAAGCTGGCAGATAGCTACTGCTTGAGATATGAAAAAGTTACCGTAAATTAACACTAAGTGAGCATACAGTTCATCGCACCTACTGAAAACAAGCTACTACCTCAAATTCTGAAACATTTGGAGCATTCATTCACTAGCTGGACTTCAACTTTAAAGTTGTAACTTTCTTGGTTCAAAACAATAAGAAAGTTAAGGACATGCCCATTATCTTTCATATCGTCCAGGTTAGCTACATAGCACTTTAGGCCATAGTGGGGCTAAAAATCAAGTTATGGAACAGATTAACCAAGCACCAAACAAAACCCATGAGTACTTTTTCTTCTTACTCCTGTCTCTATATACTTGAGAGAACATATAACTGTTAACACCTAGAAGCCTTGAGAAGGAATTCAGAAAGAGTGTGATAGGCTACCGGAATGCTCTCCAATCCCCCACCCCCATGAAGCAGGGTGCCAGAATCACACAGTCTTTGAAAGAAGACAGAAATCACTGACCTCTTGTAATGATGCTTTATGAATGTACAATGCAAAGAAATGTAACAAATGAAGACTCAACATCACATCCTCCCGCATTTCGAGAGGCCATTTATTTTAAGTGAGCTGCTGATTTGACCTCAAAAGGCCCCAAGCCCAAGGCCTGATTGCTTCAATATATTTTACTTCATAAACTGCATTAAATCGGAGAGCTTGAAAGAGAAGTCCGTTCTAGAGAATAAATACAAACCACTTCTGAAGGTTTCCCATCAGGTGGCTGCTTTGCCAAACCACCCATTAATTAAAATACCAGAGACATAATTGTCTTACAATAAATACTAATTACAAAGATACATCAAAGCACTTCTACTTGCTTCTGATGAAGAGTAATTAATTTCTTTTGGGGCTGATTTCTAAGGCAGTTGGATAGAGTTGGATTAATTCCCCCCCAAAAAATTGCTATTTAAGTTTAATTTATTCCTACAGCCATGCATGTAGTAAGCACATCTGCAGTGTCCCCTATTACGATGTGACCCTTCAAACATTTCCTACCAAGTGCAGTGCCTATTACCACATGTAGTCCCACAGATCCCATTAAGCACTATGCTTTACAGTAGATTCTTTACTCATGTGAGTTGTCACATTGACAAATGGAGCCTGGTTCAATGTAAACACTCCCATAGTTTTCAACAGGCTATGGATCATGTCCCAAGCAAATCAAATCACTCATGTGCTTCAGTCTTTGCAGGATTGGGAACATCATTTGCAAATGTAGTAAACACACCTGATAATGCAAAACTCCAGATTCTGGTCTCTCAACACTGAAAATCCACAAGAGAATTTTAAAAGGGTTCTCAAGCATTTTTGCAAGGTTCCCATGAACATATTATGCTCTATCCAGATTCAAATACCAATGAGGATGAAAACATGCAAGAACAGAAACTGTATTTTGGTCATTGTTAAAACCACATTTCACAACCTAGAAAGCAATTGCCATTTCAGGACTTCTGTTTGTACTGATTTCAGCTCTTCTAATCAGGTTCTAAGAAATTTAATCAATCTTAACTATATCAACCAGGTAATACCACTTATAAACAGACTGGAGGGATGACAGGACTTGTAATTTAAGACCATAGTTTGTTTATTAACACAGATTTTGGGATGGAGTTTGGGATTGCACAAGAGGCAGTCTCCTATCACCCCACGATCAGGTCAGCTTCTGCTATGGACAACTGCCATCTTTACCGTTTGTTTTTCAGCTTGCTTAGGCATCATTTCTCAGAACTCTACCCAAACATTCAGATTTACTCACACATTTTGGTTTAATGAACACTTCAGAGTTTGATTCTCAGATGAAACTCCCCCAGACCTGTCGGCACACATAGCACTGTCTCCTCTTTCAGCACGTACCGCTTCATTAGACTGCACAAATTCCTTTAGACTTAGATGTGAAATTTCACTTCCACTAAGAAAGCCAGAGTGGAGGCCCATCCCTGAGCTTTGCACATAGGCACTGCATTTGCAGACATGCTGCACAGGCTCTAGAAGAATAAAAACAATGAAGCTACAGAATACTTCACATACCACTGAAGGCAACTGTATTCTGAGATTAACCACTGCCAGCTTAGTCTGCAGAACATCTCTTGGACAAGGCAGGTCACAGATGCCTGAACCTTGAACTGGGGGCCCAGCCACCTTACTCCCAAGTGCATCAAGTCCAGAAGCAGAGGCTCTTGCTGCTGAGTTCCAAGCATTCAATGTTATCCTCAAGTGCGGTCTTCTGACCACAAAGCCATGTGTGACTCCACTTCAGGTTCTTCTCTACAAGGATCTGCCCTTCAGAGCTCTAATATCAAGAGACCAATCCTGCTGCTGCTGACAAACAGAGACAGGATCAGGCCCCAAGGGAAAACGCATAAGGCACAGCATTGGTACTCAGCAAATTCCATTCCTGGGTCATCTATCACACAGAGGACATGTGACACTTTAATAAAGTGTGCAGGGTACCTGGAGACCCTGTGATAAAAAGGTCTTAGAGCCTGACCTTCTAGCCAACCCCCTTTCAGTGACTGGCACATCAGGAGTGTCATCTTAATTTGTATAATGGTAGCACCTAAAGCTCAGGGTTCACTTGTGCTAGATGTTGTACACATAGTGAGAGACAGTCTCTGCCCCAAAGAGCCCACAATCTCAACAGACCAGATAGACCCAGGACAAGAGCAGAGACAGAGACACAGAGGTCAAGTGACTCACACAAGGTCACACAGCAGTTTGGTTCCAAGGCCACAAGCCTCCTCACTCCCAATCCAGTATCCTGCCCACTGATCATGCTGCCTCAGACAGTTTTCCCTTAAAAGTACAAAACACCACTACACGGACTCCACCAGTGTGGCACGTATTACTGTTACATCCGCTAAAAAGCCTTTCAATTAAGATTAGGGGTGGGAATACTC